GCCAAATTTAAAAGTTTTGTTTTAACTACGGTTTATTTTTCTATTTTTACACTAAGATTTTGTACTTAAACATTTATTTACATTCCTTTTTAGCATCTGCTAGCATATACTATGTACAAACTTTATATAGTATAGCTTCAATTTTTAGATAAATATTATAAAATCAACAAAGTAAATTTACTTTTTGCAGATAAAGTCTTAACAACTTATATTTATTGATAAACATTTATTATTTTAATAAAATTTTATATCAGAACATTTTAAATTTAGTACGTAGTATATAAATTTTGCTCTCTTTAGAAAATTTTTATCAAATAAATATTATATTAAATTTGATTTTTAGGTTTCAAAAATCCCATCCGTCGAGAAGCTTAGGTGAAGTTTATGAACAGGAGAAACTGGCAAGCTACATCAGGTAGTGTTCTATGCTCGAAACATTTTTCTGATAGCTGTTTTGACAGAACATCTCAATAAAATATCTCAAATAAATAATTATTTCCTAAGATTTCTAAATTTTAATGATTATCAAAATGTTAATTATGGTAAATCAGTAATCATGTTTAATTATTTTCCGCTTTTTTTCTAATTTTTTTTAAAAATGTTAAGGTTATTATTGTTAGATACATCAATAAAAACAAGGCAATTAGTTTAAGACATACTAGCAACAAAACAGTGTTATTTAGTGAGCAATAAAATTTAATTTATTTAATGTGTATTATTTTTTTGTGTTTCCTCCTTAAATATACATAGTATATAGTCATTAAAATTAATCTTGTAATTTATATTTTTGAAAAAATTGTAGGTTTTGTATAGTGATTTTGATTAATTAATTTTTTATTTAAAAAAGTTGAGGTCGTTATATTGTGTAAAATAAAATTTTTCAAAGAAGTTTCTCTAATCCGGCCCTGCTAATGCCGCCATATTGGTGCTGGCTTAAGCCACGCCTAGTGTTACCATTTTTCGCAAGCACTTTAAATGCTCATAGCGTCTCCCTCTATATAACCTCATTGCGATGACCCGATCATTATACAGGGTCGCTGTATGGAAACGGATGATTATTGCGTAAAATAGAGGAGGTACCGCAAAAAGTTAAATACAAAAATTATAGGGTTTTTAAATGTCTATTGGCCAGTAATAAGTTTATGTATACAAGGTAACTCATAAAGTCGTGGCACACCAAAGTTGCATTTTTTAAATGTACACTGATAAAAAAGATAGACTTGAACTAAAGTCGTCATCGTTCTTGAAAAAAAAAATTAGTGGCAAGAGAGTTTATTTTAGCGCAAAAGAAAATATTTTTCCTGAAGAAAAACTCTCTTAACTCAAGAAAACTGGTTCTCTTGAAAAATTCGAAAATTTCTCTTGAATCTATTTTCATTCAACCAAGTGCAAGTTACTTTGTTTTAAGATAACAAGAAAAATACGCTAGGAAGTACTTCATTCAAGAAACATGGCCATTTTTCCAATAGCTAAATACTCTTTTGATGAAAAATAATAACGAGACGCAAAGACGACGACGAAGGACGATATATATATACAATCAGTCTGCAGTCCGATCAGTCGTACGTCGCATTTCATAGGTAGCACATCATAGTACGCACGGGTTTTGTTGCTTGGCATTTTCCACTTGGAATTTTATTAGGATCGTTATTAACATGCATTTGTCATTTTTTATGGACACATTTTAGAATATTTGGATTTTTTAAAGGAGTTTCTGAAAAAATGGAAATTAGAGCATTTATTTGCTATATTTGAAGGTAAGAGACATTTACCTAATGCACCTGTTTAGATAATGCATGCGTGACTATAGATAGAATAAGAATATAGGTGTCGATTTTTTTATGCAAATAATTACAAAAATTTTAGAATTTCAAGTGGTCGTATTAAAAAATTCAAAATGTGACCGAAGCTTATAATTTTAATAATTTATTTGCTTTACTTTGATTAATCGTGATGTAACATTTTTTTGTAATTTGTAGAGTGATGAGCCACCCCAAAAAATACAAAGGAGTGAAGAAGCAGAAATAACTACTGTCGAGGAAAATAATATCACTTTACTTACTACAGACCAGGAAAACCTAAATTTATCAGAAAATAATATACCTCGTAATATGCCTGCACTGAAAAAAAGGATCTCTCAGTCGAAATGAATATGACTTTGACCCAAAAGATTGGCGCTTTTCAATAGGGCCAAGAACGACGTTTCTTTGCCCAAAGCATTAACTCTCTTTTCTTAAGCTTTAAAAAATTACTTTAGAGAATAGAAGAATCTATCTGTCCAAAGTATTTCACTCTTGACCCAAAATTAATATGCAAAGTTCTTGCTACAAGAACAATAGTCTCTTTGATTCATGCATTTCTTGATTGAAAAGGGACATTTCTTGATTAAAGAGACACTTTTCTTAAACCAATAGCGAATACCATTGACTCAGCTAAAATTTATTTTGATCTAAGAGAAGTCTATACATCATATATAGGCATACAGGCATATTACGAGATATATTATTTTCTGATAAATTTAGGTTTTCCTAGCCTGTAGTAAGTAAAGTGATATTTCCCTCGATAGTAGGTAGTTATTTCTGCTTCTTCACTCCTTGGTATTTTTTGGGGTGGTTCATCACTCTACAAATTACAAAAAAATGTTATATCACGATTAATCAAAGTAAAGCAAACAAATTATTAAAATTATAAGCTTTAGTCACATTTTGATTTTTTAATACGACGACTTGAAATTCTAAAATTTTTGTAATTATTTGCATAAAAAAATCGATACCTATATTCTTATTCTATCTATAGTCAGGCATGCATTATCTAAACAGGTGCACTAGGTAAATGTCTCTTACCTTCAAATAAAGCAAATAAATGCTCTAATTTCCATTTTTTCAGAAACTCCTTTAAAGAATCCATATATTCTAAAATTTGTCAATAAAAAGTGACAAATACATGTTAATAACGATCACTAATTTGTTATATGATAGGCGTTTAAAAAGCAAATTATGCAAAATTCCAAGCAACAAAACCCGTGCGTACTATGATGTGCTACCTATGAAATGCGACGTACGACTGATCGGACTGCAGACTGATTGTATATATATCGTCCTTCGTCATCGTCTTTGCGTGTCGTTATTATTTTTCATCAAAAGAGTATTTAGCTATTGGAAAAATGGCCATGTGTCTTGAATGAAGTACTTCCTAGCGTATTTTTCTTGTTATCTTAAAACAAAGTAACTTGCACTTGGTTGAATGAAAGTAGATTCAAGAGAAATTTTCGAATCTTTCAAGAGAACAAGTTTTCTTGAGTTAAGAGAGTTTTTCTGCAGGGAACATTTTTTTTTACGCTAAAATAAATTCTTCCCACTAATTTTTTTGTTTTTCTAGAACGATGACGACTTTAGTTCAAGTCTATCTTTTTTATCAATGTGTATATGATATATAGACTTCTCTTAGATCAAAATAAATTTTAGTTGAGTCAATAATATTCGCTATTGGTTTAAGAAAAGTGTCTCTTTAATCAAGAAATGTCCCTTTTCAATCAAGAATTTTTGCATGAATCAAAGAGACTATTGTTCTTGTAGCAAGAACTTCTTTGCATATTCATTTTGGGTCAAGAGTGAAATACTTTGGACAGATAGATTCTTCTATTCTCTAAAGTAATTTTTTAAAGCTTATGAAAAGATAGTTAATGCTTTGAGCAAAGAAACGTCGTTCTTGGCCCTATTGAAAAGCGCCAATCTTTTGGGTCAAAGTTATATTCATTTCGACTGAGAGATCCTTTTTTTCAGTGTATGATTCTACGATATTACCTCGGTAGGCCTGTATATTATTGCCATATTTCAATTCTTCCTTCAATTCTAAGCAAAAATCGAAATACACAGAATGTACTTCAAACCAACCGTTTCCGAGTTATTGACTTTTGAAAATATCAAGATATGTTCAGTTACATTTAACGATGCCTTTCTGCCGAAACTGTGATACTTAATAATATTTGACATTACTTCTCAAGTTAGCATTTATAGATGTATAAAATGAGATTATATCAAGTCTGGAAATTACAAAATTTTCGTTTAACATTTCAATTCTTCAATTTATGTACATTGTATATTATGATTACTGCTTAAAATTGAAGGAAGAATTGAAATATGCAATAATATACAGGGGGTTTCTTTAAAAAAAAGAGAAAGTTTGATGTGCCACAACTTTATGACCGACCCTGTATACTTAAATTTACTAGTAGCTAATAGGCATTTAAAAACCCATTACAACAGTATCACAGTTTCGGCAGAATGGCATCATTAAATGAAACTGAACATATCCAAATTAATTAAATCAAATTGTTTAAGTGATACGTTCGAAAGTCAATAACTCGGAAACGGTTGGTTGGAGGTACATTGTGTGTATTTCGATTTATGTTTAGAATTGAAGGAAGAATGGAAATATAGAATAATATAGAGGGGGTTCCATTTAAAAAATGAAACTTTGATGTGTCACGACTTTATGACCGACCCTGTATACATAAATTTATTACTCGCCAATAGACATTTAAATACCCTATAATTTTTGTATTTAACTTTTTGCGATACCTCCTACATTTTACCTAATAATCGACCGTGTTCTAACCTAACACAGCGACCCTGTATATCACCCTGTATTTAACACTGGGCCATCCTGTATACATTTATAATTGTTTAGGTTTAGGTATTATGTGCAATGAACAAGTTTTAAAACTGCGCGTCTTATAGCTGTTTTTTTTATCCAATTACAAATGTTTGCGACATATATCAGATGCGTTCCAAATTCCACGATTACCATGCTACTTTTACACTGCAAATATTTGCAAAATATTGCAAAAACACTTGTAAACAGGTATTCGACCGATAAGACTCTTAAATTCAATAAAGAAATTTATAGATATTTTATTATTAGCACAGTAATTAGGATTTTTTGTAATCTATATGGATTAAATGAATTGTATTTTTAATTCTACTTTTGTTTGTTTACAGCGAGCGCAAACAAACTGAAGTCTCTGCTGAGTTTCGCTGTTGGAGGACTATTAGGAGATGTTTTTCTACATTCCCTCCCAGAAATATGGGCGAACGACTTGTCTAAAGATGGTAAGTAAATTTGGATTAATATAGAAATAGTTTATGTAGAAAGGCAAAAAAAGATCTAATTAGTTAAAATGTATTACATCGCGTGATCCCCGAAGTTGGAATAAAATCAATTTCATTCATTTTTTTCGGAATATATACTCGGATAGGTATGTAGAAGACCAATACACAATTTAAATAACATAAAAGACTCATTACACTAAAACTAATACACAGCTGGGGATCTCTACTACCAGAACTTAAAAGAATTAAGTTAGCATGGAGTACTTATGGAAGAAACTCAATCATATTCAAAAATCTAGAATCTTCAAAAAGAAATTAGAAATTCAAAAATCTAGAAAATGTAACTCTTGTTTTGTTGATACAATTTTTAAAGAGATATCAAGTAACTCATGCGTTCAAATTTTGATTCCTATATAAAAAATGTGGGAAATATTGAGGAGTTGAAAGATTGTAAGAGTATAAGAGACTCGTTTTTGCCGAACCAGTTAAAAATGAAATTAATGTAAATGACCTATTGGGGCCCTCTAATATTTAGATTTACATTCTCAGTGGTATGCTTTTCACAAAGTCTAATGGAGATAATGTTTCATATAGTTCTTTTTCAGTGGCTTATCATTGCCAACTATAAAATTTGCTATCGCATTGACAAAAATTGTGTTTTACCTATTCTTTATCTGATTGACAGAATCTGCACACAGCTTCGTCTGTTAATCCTATCAGGTTTAAATGTGTATTGAGCTTGCAATGCTCATTCACCGATATTCATCGGTAAATGGTCTCTTTTCTTGCATTTATTCAAATGCAAGACCAAGACCAGGGACCAGGGCTCTCTTGGTTTTGCAGGACCCATTTATTGTTTTCTTCTTGCTGCAATATGAATGAAACTTTAAAGAAAGAATTAATAGAACATTTTTCTGGCGAAAACTTTTATTTTTCAATGTATTATTATTTTGAATCAGCATTTCTTTCTTTATTTTTTTTCAATAATCAGGAAACTTTTTGTAATAAATTATAACCATAATTTTGAACAAATAAGTAATTTCTTATACAAAAACGTGAAAAAATGCAAGACCGCAAAAGTCTTGCATGCTTGGTCTTGGCCTTGCGAAAGAGTTGCACTGGTCTGTCTTGGTCTTGGTCTTGCAGATCAAATGATCTTGGTAATTGTGTTGCACCAACTACATCTGTCATAAATTTTGGAGAGTGTTTTACTTTGAACTGTTTTGCTTGCCTCTGTTAGTGATTTATTGGGCACCAAGTTTTGTGGTCATTTTTGTTATTGCGTTTACAGAACTAAATGTTGCAATTTGCAATTTCTATTGATAACTTGTATTGCAGCATCAGAAATTTCAATATCATTTTACAGTTTTGTAATACTCATCGTATCCAAATTGAAAGCTATTCATGTTGCAACTGTTAAGGCGGTATAGACATAACATTTGTATGGTAATACTTAGCTCCTCTATAATTGAAAAAAAGAAGGGTAATAATGAGTAGACATACAAAAAAAGTGAACATGTTATTATCACGTATTATTTTTATTGCAACTGTTTAATGCCACGTAGGTAACATATTAAATTAAAAAAAGGAGTAATTTAAAAACGATTAGAGGTAGTTACTAACCGAAATGCTGTGAATAAATATTAAGGAAATAAATAAACAGCACTATGCTAGTTCAAAAAGCGTTTAAACTCAAAACTGTCTACTTTCTTCAAATGAAATAAAAAACACTGTTTACAGATTTAATATAAGCAGTAAAAACTTAACGATCAAGATGTTGCAAAATTAATTTGAAACTTGACGAAGAAAATTATTACGAATAAAATTAACGTCATTTTTAAATTAATCTGGTTATACAGATTTATGCAGCTTATAGGGTGTAAAGTTTTACTAAACAATGTTAAAAACGGACAAGCAATTATGGATTAGTCTTCTAAATTTTCATTTTAATTAAGTTTGCTAACGTATTTGGTTTTTTATTTCAAGCAAATATACTTCTACTTGTGTTAACTATAATTTTCTTATTTTCTTTGCTTCCAGCTAAAATAGTATAAAAATCAGGGTTGGAAAAAATCATGATTTTTTTTAAAAAATCAAAAAAATCAGATTTATTTGATTTAAATCAGATTTTTTTGATTTTAATTCAAAACAATATTTAAATCGGATTTCCAAATGACTAGGACTTATTTCCAATTAAAGTCCTATCCTAAATGGATAAATCATTATAACTCTACCCGTTATCAATAACATTAATAATTCTAGGGTGCGTTTGTCATTTTTCCACATCGGTCACCAATATATTTCGCAAAAAAGTCGCTCGCTTCAGATCAAAAGGATTTTTTTTTCAAACGTCTCAAAAGTATTAATTTTTGTCATTTTAACGCCTAGGTATAAAAGTAAAGCACTGTTACGCCTAAGCATAAAACTACAAAAATATATTATTAAACTGATATTAAGTGTCAAATTCAACCAGTGTACAAATTGTTGCTCGATTACTGTTTATATTATTTGCAATGTTTGAAATTGATTAAAAATGATTTGTAATGTTTTAAAAATATAGTATGTATGTTTTATTAGGAGTAAAAATGTACTTCTTGTGCTTCCTTGTAACGTCGGAATAGCTTTACGATGGTCCTTCAAAGGTACAGCATCATCAAAAAAAGAATAATTTTTACTCCTAATAAAACAATACATTATTTTTCGGAAATACTCTTCAGTCGAGACTGAAATTAGTATTTTTGTCACTTATACATAAATTTTAAAATAAATCCCTGCGTTTAGCAGTCTAATGGATTCACACGAAATTACTTCAAAAATCGGTCCAACATTTAAATTGATGAATAGATAGTTTTATACCTTTTTTATAGTTTTCTAGGACTCATTTTTATAACTTTTATATTTATTTTTTGATTTATAATAAAGTTTTAATAAAATTATTTTTTTTTTATTTAAATCAATGATTAAAATTAAAAAAATCACTTGATTTAAATCATTTGATTTAAATCATGCCAATCCTGATAAAAATGCTTTGATAATAAATGAATTCAAAGTCGTAATAATTTCTTTTGAATGAATTGTCTGATTATTTATTAATTAAATTTTATGTCGATGTTGTGCATGTGGTGCTAATAAACAAATATTTTAGCATAACATACTGAACATGCACACGATTACTATATTATAATATTCTATTGTTAAGAGAAGTGATAATATTTTAATGGATAGTTTTTATTATGCATTAATTTCGAAAGATTTGTTTAATATTTTTTTTATCAGTAAAACAGGAAGAGCAGTCATTTGACATTTAAAAAGTACTTAAACATTTTGTGCCAAGGTTATGATATAATAATTACACTGATGAATTTATTTTGTATTGTTATTGTTAGCGATTTCCTTATTGGTTAAATACTTGGTGTCGGTATTCATGCAGTACATATTAAAATGGATACCGTACGTGTTTTAATAGTGATAAACGGTTTAATATAGGATATCAGATATTTTTCAAATTAATAAATTGTAGAATGTAGAATGACTGAGGGGGGGGGGGTTAATCACCGCGACGCGCGACGGTTAAAGATTTATTGTGTTCCACTTTTTTTTCTGTAGTAGGGGGGACAGGGTATTTCCCATCCTCTTCCGAACATCTGACAACAGATGTTCTTCCTCCGAGGAGTGGACATCTACCTCCTACGAGGGTTTACACCCTTCCACGGTTTGGGTTTGGTGCTCCGTGTCCTTCACAGTCGAGGAGCTTTTCAGCTACTCTGGCTGAGGTACCCGTGATGTGAAGGCTGGATGATCTCTCTCCTTTTCCTCTACCTCTTTAACTTGATCTCTCCTTAGATCTGATACCTGTGTTGTACCGATATATCTATCGTATGGCTCACAGCAAAACACATGAGACCGGTATCATCGTACAAATAAAAGTAAAAACATAAATATGCGTGTAAATAATAATCGGGCAGAATTTAAAATGTACAAACAAATATAAAAAAAACTCAAAATTTAAGTGAGGATGCAGTCAATAATCACCACATAGGCTAATAAAACTACCTTTTGAAATTTGTCAAGCTTTCGGGAATTTTATTCGAATCATCAGTACAGTTCACTCAGTCAAACTGTCCTGATGATGGGAATAAACTTCTCGAAAGCTTGACAAATTTGAAAAAGTAGTTTTATTAGCCTATGTGGTGATTATTGACTGCACCCTCACTTAAATTTTGAGTTTTTTTCTTAACTTAGTCAGTCACGACTAACCTGCTATTTTTCAAACAAATATACATATAGCAAATTTAACAAACAAATATCTAAATTGCGGATGTATTCGACTTCACTGTCTGTAGCTTCCGGGAAATCATCAAAGGGGCCGGAATAGGATCTTAATGGGCATGCTTCTACTATGTGCCGGATAATTTGACTGCCGATGTTGCAGTCGCATTCTGGGGAAGCTGTCTTTCCCCATTTAAACGTAGAATCAGCACACCTCCCATGATTTGTCCTTATACTGTTCAACGCACACCATGTTTTTCGTGGCATATCAAAGCCTGGTGGGTTCTGGGTTATAGCCGGCATATCCCCGGCGTGACCTGGCAACTCTGATTCCCCCTCTACTCCAAAACTCCATTAATTTAAAATTGTTCCGATGTAGGCTGATTGCTGTTGTCAATGTTGGATGCCTTGAACGGAGCCTGTTCCTATCCGGATCTTGGACATTCAAATATATCGGCAGTTGAGACATGTTTGTAATTTTAGAGTATTCTATAATAAGTGCGTTGTGTCCGCGAACATGTGGTGGAGGAATATGACTTAGAATAGGAAGCGATTGGGTGGGAGTTGCTTTTACTGTTCCTGATATGACAGCCAGTTACTTTCAAACTTTATTTTAAGTTCTTGGTTTACTAATTTATTATTAAGATGGAAACAACTAACTTCCGTCTTCATCGCGCTCGGTTGTAGCCTCCACCTACGGAAATAATTTCCCAGGGAAGACAGATCCTCCGCAAGAATAGCCTCAGTCTCTCGAGGTGTCTATGTCTTGTTTTCTATAGCCCAATCATCCGCATATCCAATTTTTTTAGCTGAAGTAGCCGGTATATCAGCGATATATAAATTAAATAGCAATTGAACTAACACAGAACCTTGTGGCAATCCGTTATTAAGTTTCATCTTTTTGCTTTCTCTCTCCCTCAGATTTACCTGAAAGAGTCTGTTTCAGAGCATATCATCGATTAGGCTGACGGTTTTTCGGCAGGGGATTTTTGTTGCTAGCTTGCAGATTAATCCATGTCTCCAAAGTGTATCGTACGCTGAGGGCAAGTCAATAAAAGAAACTGATGTTTTTTCTTGGCGTTGAAATTCTGCTTCGATGTAAGTTGTTAATGATAAAACCTGATCTACGCACCTACGTCCGGGTCGAAAGCCAGCTTGTTCAATCGGTAATCTTCATAATTTTTGGGCTTATTCTGTTGTAGATTAATCTCTCCAGCAGCTTGTAGGTCGTGCTCAGCAGTGCGATTGAGCGGTAACTTTGCAGCTTGTCCTTAGGCTTACCAGGCTTTAGGATGGCAATGATTTTAGCTCTTTTAATGGTTGTGGAATAGTGCCTGTTTTAATTATATCGGTGAGAAAGTACCGATATAATTAGATCATGTAGTAGATCAACCATCGTTTTGTAAATTCACCACAATTCAGAAGGAATTCTGAGTGGATTCCGTCAAATCCTGGAGCTTTGCCAACTTAGTATGTTCCAAGTCTCCTCAGCACAAAAATATCCCGAATCTATAATGGAGGATAAGGCTCAGCAGGTAGGTGGTGTCTTTCCCTTTGCTCCTCGGCAGAAAAACCGTGATGTTGAAGAATTAATAAATTACAGAGACTTTTAAAACTTGCTTAGTAGATTGCTTAGTAGATGTTTTATACTCCTGAATTAAATGTGAAATTAATTTTGTTGATGTTGCCTCATAATTAAGTAGCATTTTCTAAACAAAATAAACAAAATGTAATACTAAATCGAAGGCTTTTATCAATGTAAAAGAAAATTGCTTATTATGACTTTTATGAAATAATATTAGTTTACACTGAATTGAGAGTTTTTTTTATCAATCTTGTGCTAGGGATGACTGATTGACTAAATGATCTGGAATGATTGAGACCAACGATTGAATTATTAATACGCTATAAACGTGCGTGACATGAGCTCTCAATTGAAGAAGGTGGCGGAGTTCCAAACATAAGATATTTAAAAGTTAATTTTCTGTATTATTTTTTTTTCGTTAATTTTTCCAATATTTTAATAGTTATTCTGTTATTCGGGGAGGAGATGAATCTTTGAAATCAGAGATCATTAAAGTCAGTCCAGCCATTAAAGTTCGATCCAGCCGTTCAAAATTTTAAGGTGCCGGTTTTTATTGCCGGTGAGTGTAGTATCTAAATTTAGCAAACTTTTAGATGGGATATATTTAAGTGTTCTAAATTATTTTATAGTTTTTTTTAGATAAAGAGGCTCTATTTTCATAACTATAAGTGTATCATAATTATAACTGTATAAGCATAAAATAATGTAGCTGTGTAAAATATTTTATAGGATTTTTCATGCGAGCAGATGAGTATTAAAGTTTATATATCTATTATTAAAGTATATCAAAAATAAATAGGATGTTCAAAGATTTTACACAATTAGAAGTGATATTAACAGCCTATTGTAATAGGAATTTTTAATACTTTCTAAAATATTTGTTTTTCAAATTTATGGATTTAATTTATTATGCAGCACATAGTCACGTCATTTATTCGTGTTTTTTTTTGTTCTTTGGTTCCTTGTTTCTATCTGGATTTCCGGACCATACTGGACTGATATTTGTAATAGCTCGTTTAGTTTGAGCACGTGGGAAACGGTTGAACAAAAGAACATTATTAATCGTAGATATTTTTTGACAATATACGTGGTTGGAAAGTGCCATAAATTTTGTCGGAAATGTATTTATCTATACATCCATAAAAAGATAAAATATAGCGCAAAACACTATTTTGTAGAGAATATTTGTATAACCATTTTGCGAGTAGTAAACATTGTGTGCTAAATGTAGGGTTGCCAACTGTCCTCTATTCCAGAGGACAGTTTTCTTTTTGATCTCACCGTCCTCTTTTCTCCCACTTATTGAAAAAGTCCTCTTTTTTACATACCAAACTCGCCACAATGCTTTAAAAAATGGTTAATCCGAGGGTTAATCTGTGTCTTTCGCTACTCCCACCCGTTTCTAGCGATAAACATGTTTAACTATTATATATTTACTTACTGTTAGCTTAAGTACAATGCGCGGGAGAACACAATAGAAGAACTTATTCACTAGCTCATCTATTATGCTCAGACAGTCAGGCGGCACTTAAGGCGCTCATGAGCCCAAAGGTATCGTCGAATTCCTGGATGAACCACACATTGTTTAATAACAGAGGTCTTTGCCAGGAATATTGAGTCCAAAGAAAGAATGTATTTTTAAAATTGTATTTAATATGTGAATAATTGTTTTAAGGAACTGGTATCAGGATAAATAAGTGGGGTAAAGAGTCAGATAAAAATTATTGTATATTTGATAGCGCCGATTCGTTATTATAGGCAGTATAAAAATACATAATATATTTACAACAAAATACCTTAATACTTAATTGTGCCTGAAATAAGTTTTAATCTGAGAGAACTGATCTGATCTGAAATGCCCAAATTTGTTTCAAACAATCAAAATGTATTACTTAGTTAAAAAAAATATTTTATTATGCGAATAAATGCTGATGCATATTCGCCATCTTTTTTCAATGTACTAAATATTCAGTGCACTAAATATTTTATTCGATCATCCTTTATCGCTTGATCACATACAACGACCCTATTCACTGTCGGTCTCATTGCCAATTTCAAGTTAACTTAATAAAGCAAATTGTTCCGTCCTTTGTAAAGCAATTTGTATGCTAAATTTATATCCTCTCACATTGACTAGCCACTCGATTTTCGTAATAGGATTTTATATATTATGCTAATAATTGAATTATCTTGTTTTAGGGGGCCATCATAACAATTACAGCGGATTATTGATCCTCGCCGGACTCATTACTTTTGTGATAGCAGAAAAAATATTTTCGGTGATAGAAAAAGAAGCCGAAAAAGCGGAAGAAAAGGAAAAGGTTATGGAAAACAACAATACAAAAGGGATAATGGAGAGTACGAGTAAAAAACAGGTAATAAATATATTTCTGTATAAATTTGAATGGTAATAGATACATACTTATTGTTGATATAAAGTTCTAAGAAAATTAAATATAGAAATATAACAAAGTAAAAACAAAAAATAAAATACAAATAAAACATTAAGAAATTAAATACTAAGATTAAATACTCAATCGTAATTTCTATCTTTCTTTTCTTTGTTGTAAAAATTATCAATTTTAGTTTCTCCATCTCTACTAACTAGGGTGTCCGTTATTTACCAAGTTGGTCATTTCTCTCACGACGCGACGCCCTCTAAATTTTTAGTTTATTGTCTAAAAAAAATAACAGACCATTGTAAACCCTTAATATTCACATTACATACATACATACAGCCGTTACTCGCTGACGAGTATTCGACACACATAAAGAAGATGGTCACACAAGGCGTTTTCTTTCATGAGCTTTTCTGTGACTGAAAAGCCCGATACGTGATGTTATCAAAAATTGCATTGCTTTATTGCTTCTTTACTTTTTGGTTGACGCTGTTAACTGAGGTTACAACTCTTCTCCATTAAGTTCTATTGTGAGCCGCTTTTGCCCACTCATTCTTCATGTTAATCCCCTTAAGTTTTCGTGGAAAATGTCCTTGTACCTTTTCAGTTGTCCACCCGGCCTCCTCTTACCGTCTACAAGCTCACCGTAAAGCAGAGATTTTGGTATGCGGTTTTCTTGCATTCTGCATACGTGACCAGCCCATCTTAAGCGGGATTTTGTGACCATAACTTCAATACTCGCGCAGTTAGCTTTTTCAAGGACCGATACGTTTGAGACATGATGGAACCACCGGATGCTTAAGAGTTGTCTAAGCTGTCTCTGTTGCAACTTGTTTAATGCGTTCATGTGTCGGCGGTACAGCACCCAGGTTTCACTCCCATATAACATGGTGGGGATTATAATTGCTCGGTACACTGCAAGTTTTGTTTTTGTACTCAAGTAATGATGACCCGTTTGCGATTCTGGAAGGATTTTTTCTATATATGGGTGCAGGCGGTTTGACATTATTTTTGCAAGATTTTTTCCGCCGATTTTTCTTTGATGGCTTCCCGGAGGGCGTCGGCAGTATTGTTGTTCTCTAAACCCCGTACGTTCAATCTGGTCACGTTGTTTTGCTTTTTACAGTGTGGATGTTTGGGTTTTAACTGGATTTTCATTTTTGAAATTAACAGTCGGTGGTCAGTGCCTCATTCGGCATCTATTCTAGCTTTTGTGAGCCTAACATCTTTTAGATGCGTCTTTCGAACGATTATGTGGTCCAATTGATGCCAGTGGCCCGATCTAGGATGTTTCCAGGTACCTTTAAACTTGTCCTTCAACATGAACCACGTATTGGTGATGGAAAGATTATACTCTGCGCATGTTAATAAGCGTTCACATATGTTAATAAGCGTTCACCATTGCTATTTACGTTTCACATTCCATGTTTTCCCAATACGTCAGGCCATATTTCCTGTTGTTTGCCAACACGGGCATTAAAGTCACCTAGCAAGATGATTCGTTCGTGCTTTGGAATTCGTTGGAGGGCATTTTGTAAAGCTTGGTAAAATTTATCCTTTTCCTCAATTTTAGCGTCAAGGGTGGGAGCGTAGTCACTAATGATGTTGACGTGAGTTTTGTCTGAAATGCTTCTAAAATGCTTAATCCCGTTTATACTTTTCCAACTTTCCACACCGTTTTAGAGAAAATAAAAAAACATGAAATGCGATTGCTATGTGTAATATTATTTTCATTTTTCCAGATATCGGGATACCTGAACTTAGTTGCCAACACAATCGATAACTTCACCCACGGCCTGTCGCTAGGCGGCGCCTTCCTGGTATCGCCCAAACTAGGACTACTGACCACGTTCGCCATTTTGGTGCACGAGATTCCTCACGAAGTGGGCGACTTCGCTATTTTGCTCAAATCGGGCTTCACCAGGTGGCACGCCGCAGTTTTCCAACTGATGACGGCCGGCGGAGGCTTAGTAGGGGCACTGTTCGCCATCACGTTCAGTGGGGCCAAAACTTCTTTAGGTAAATATTTTTGTTTGGTATAACGCTTCCTTGCTATACCTAATTAGAATGTTAAAGATCTCGTAGTTTATTATACTAGGTGATAATAAAATTTTTGGACAGTCTGCCATGCCATCGTTTTTTAATGAATAAATATTATATTCGGCTACATAGAAAATATAGAACATAATATCTTACATTTTCCATTAAAAAAATATTAAAAACGCACGATTTTAAAGAAAAATTTCCTATAAACATACGCCCTAAAATGACTCCCGAAGAAATTGCAACCTCGAAAGCATAAATAAAGAATATATATACTGAAACTCGAAAGAAGATCATATATGGTAATCGCAAAACAATTTCCGATGCACGTGATCAACTTTGAGTGACAAGCGATGGCAGATTGTGATGGATTTATGGGATGAATCTTAATATAAAATTGGGAAACAACATATTTATTATATCTAAACGTTCTATTCTATTTATATCATTTTTTAAAGATTTTTACGTTTTATTTTTAATTTTATAATTCATATTTTAGTAATAGATTTATTTGTTTTCTAAGCGTTATTATGAGTTAAGGTTGATTCTCACTATACCTTCCATTTCCATTCCATATCCGTTCAGTATTTTTTATTGTATTGGCGCTATACCTAAGCTTCCATTCCATATCAGTTCCATACTTTTTATTGTACGATCTATATCTCTACTCGAATGTTTACCAATATTTACCAATGACATCGAAATAAATTTATTTAGAGGTCATTGATATTTACTATAAACTAACTAAATATTTTTGAATATTATTTTTGTTTTTTTATTTTTTTTTATTCTTTGACATTGTAAAAATTTATAAATGTTTATTTTAAACAATAAGACTGACAATATTATTTGTGTAATGTTTTGTATTATCTTTTGTTTGTTTGTTTGTGTACCTTGTTTGTTTACTTTGTTTGTTTACTTTACCTTTGTCTACAAATTGTATTTTTTTTTACATTAAAGACATTTATTTATTTATCAGTACGAAAGTTTTATTTTAAAAATTTGTATCTTTTGAAAAAGATAATAGATTTAATTAAGAAGTGAAAGAATAAATATCAGCAAAATGTTAACAGAGCTGGTACAAATGTAAAAATTTGACAACGCTGTTTCCTATACGCTTCAGTCCGTCCGCCAAAAAAATGTATGGAAGGAAAGGATATGGAACGGAAAGGAAACGGAACGGATAGTGTGCAATGTCCTATTCATTTACATGATATAACATTTTATGTGAACGGAAGGGACCTGATATGGAAGGTATAGTGAGAATCAATCTTTATTTATTTAGTGATGTACAACTTATACCACAACAAGTGGTAATAACAAGTAAGAGGGTGCCATTAATACACAAACTAATAATCACAGAATGTACTAAAAACTAACATAGAAATAACTTTGAAAGTGGTATAATGTGCTTACCAATCAAACTTACTTCTCTGTATATTTTAATTTCCAAGCGAATGGGTATAGTGTAAAAATCCGTAACAGTCCTGAAAGGAAACTTTCCATTAGGGCAGAGGGAACTATGGTGGTAGCTTTAAAATCCTAATGGATACAGCAATTTCAACAGGTGATATAAAAAGTTAGGACTTTTTACGTAAAAAAAGGTTCTCTTCGTTCAGTTCAAAACGGTGAATGATTTTTAAGACAATGGCTTAACTTTGCTAAAGCTTACGATGCGTCGATTTTAGTATTAGCGAAATCATGAAATGTAAGGAAATTTTTGGAGTGTATTAAAACAATTAACAATGTAGTTACATACCGGATATGATCTAAAAAATTACAAGATATGTTTCAAGTGAGGACTGAAAGAACTGTAAAGAGTTTCTGTAAAGGCTGTAGATAAAATATTGTAAACTTCAGTGGATGAAAAAGATAAAGAAAGGATAAAAATAAAAGAAAAAGTTCCTATAAACACATGCCATAAAATGCTTCCTAAGGACGTTACAGTCCTTACAACCGTCAATTTTTTAGATCATATCTTTTATGTAACTACATTCTTAATTAACATTATTACATTAATTAATCATAACATCTCATGGAGTCGCTAATACTACAATCGACGCTTAGTAACCTTTAAACAGAAATATCTTCAAAACCGTTTACCATTTTGAAGTAAACGAAGGGAAGTATGCGAAACGAAGGAGTATCCATTAGGACATAAAAATATACTACAAGTAGTATACTCTTACTCTAATGGAAAGTACCCCTTCCAGCACAGCTACGAATTATACACTATCGCCATTCGCTTTGGAATTAAAATGTTTTTAAGAATACTAAATTTCAAGAAACCCGGTTTACTAAAGCGTTTAAAAATAACCAAACTATATTATTTTTATTTCCCTTTCGAGGTCTGTGACTTCCTCGTGAAGCATTTTAGGGCGTATGTTCATAAGAATTCCCAAGTTTGGTACACTATTTTTTACACCTTGTATATATAAAAAGAATAATAATTATACATAGTCCTTAAACCCATATTTTTAATTTTACTTATAACTGGTTGGTATTGAATAATAATTTTCTTTTTTTTTCATATCCGAATTATTACGTAAATTCGCGCTAACAATTTTCTATCATTAAATTTAATTATCATAATTTAGTTAAAAATTGTTACCGTAGATAAACAGCGACACTGGAAAAGTTTTCAGCAAAATCACAAAAGATCTTTTAGGTACCTACTAAAATATTTATTTTTATGTATAATTTTGCTGTTATTACTAGATAACAAAAAATACTCATTTCCGTTTTAAAGATATGTTATTTCGATCTAATTTTAATATATTAAGTGATATAATTATTAATTATTTATAATAGATTTTTTTGTATGGTATTATGGTACATTCAAAATATTTTGTTATTTACTTTGGGGGGAACAATTTTCCTTATAATTAACGCTAAATAATACCTGGGATTAATAAGTCAAGAGAATCTATCATATCTTAATCTGAAGATTAATATGTACTATAGAAAGTGATTATGGTCTGTACATATATAGTTCCTAGTTTTTTTTTTATTAAATGACTTCCATTAACGAGATAAATATATTTTATATAACTTACTATGTCTACTTTTAATTTTTATAGCTTTATGCACACATAAAGTAAACGAGCAGTTTAAGATTATAAGGATTTTCACACAATCAAAACAATGTAAGAATAATAACAGCTAGGCAATGACTTCTTTAAGTATGGCATGACATAATATCCGACTCCCACGCTTAGATTCCAATATAATAAAATGCCCAGTTAGTTCACTAAACAAACAATGTACTAAAGTGAGTAAAATCAAAACAGAATCTTTACATTATTTGTTTTTAACTGCAAACGTAACTAACTGATGAAGATGTAAACGAAACGTCGTATCCGACTTTGCAGGGTGGGACCGTGTGCACCATCGCTCACATAGTCAACCTACCAAATTTGGTCGCGACTGGAGACTAACTTTTGACGTTTCTTACGGCAAAGCTAACTGTCACAGTGACACGTATGGTACACGGTCAAGTTGGCCTTGGTCCAGTCTATCGACATACCAAATTTCATTTGAATCGGACAAATTTTTTATTTGATTCATTGATTATGGGGTTTCGTAGTGCACGAAACGTCGTCTAAATATCATGACAAGATGGAGCTAGAAGAGCCCATCTACATTCCGAATTTCAGCCCCCTAGCTCACTTAGGGCCCGAGTTACGATGCTACAAAAATCCATCTCAACTTCCTCATTGACTTACTACTTTTTTCTCGCTAGCTCCTCTGTCAACGCCGTGCTGTGTCAAGGCCTTGAATTTTTACTCTCATCGCGCGTAAGAAAGTCTCACTTCAATAATGTACATGAAAGATTATTTTTGGTTTCTTAGAATTGCATTTTAGTTTACGATTTAGTAATTTTTTGTACTTAATTCTCATTAAAGGTCAATAACTCAACAAGGAAATTAAATGTAACTTGAATGCCTTTGTCAGTAGGTTCCAAAAATAATCGTATGGCTTATTGTTCAATAGGAATTAAATTATTTATAGGAAACTGGGACACAAAGTAAAATTTGCATTATACTAAAGATATATGGTAATCGCGAAACAATTTCCGATGCACGTGATCAACTTTGAGTGACAAGCAGTAGCGACAGCGCTGCCAGATTTTGATGGATTTATGAGATGAATGTTAATTTAAAAGTGACGAACAATATATTTATTATATCATTTTTTAAAGATTTTTACGTTTTATTTTTAATTTAATAACTAATATTTTAGTAATTAATTGATTTATTTGTTTTATAGCTTATTTTACTTATTACATATTGGCAAAAACTAGTCCATTATGAACATTATTCTAAGCAGTTATTATGGGTTATTTATTTATTTATTTATTGATGTACATTTTACAACGCTATAAGTGGTAATAAAAAGTAAGAGGGTTTATTTTCTATTAATGCACAAACTAATAATCACTGAATTTAATAAAAACTAACGTAGAAATAACTTTGAAGGTAGTGTAATGTGCTTATCAATAAAACTTACTTCTCTGACTGCAGTTAAGGGTAATAAAGGTCCTTTATTGTCACGTTCTCGTTCAAAATAGTTTATCAGGGAAGCTTCAAGTTCTTTGTTTCGACTGTTTAAATGCTTCGGCATATTTTTAACACACAATTTTAAAAAATACAATACAAAAACTCGAAAGTTTAGTTCCTAAAAGAACTGTTTGTACTTAAAAGTGCCATTTTTAAAAAAAGACTATGAAAATAGGCAAAAAAACTAGAATTACTCGCAAAGATTCAACAACACGATATTATACAAAATAATGATTGGCATTAGGATAATTGTCAAATTTTAGTAAAATAAACGACAACCTTGCTGAAAACGGCGCAGTGTGATATAGCGATAATAACATTCGGTTTAAACTAATTTTTGCAGCTTTAATCTAAATAAAATATCTGTTACAATCATTTGTAACAGATATTTGCTCTATAAAGTAAAATGAAGAGCTGCTCGGTATCTTAAATTATACAGGGTGAACGTTATCCAAGGAGAACGACAGTTTGTATTAAAATAAAATTTTGTGAGCATATGTAGGTTAATTCAGAGCACTTTTTAAAAATATAGAGAGTTCTACAGGGTGTCCCCAAAAAAGTTACATATCAAAGTGTTGTTTTTTGTAATGGAACACCCTATATATTAATTGATTTTCGGATTCTGGAAGAAAAATAAAGGTGAGTTTTATAAGAGAAGTATATGACTAAAATGTAAGTTTTTTGACATATTTAACATTTTCTAGAAATAAAGAACCATTTTTAAGTTACAATAAAAGCTACCTAAATTGGAGTTTACCCGGTATAGCCTAATATTTAGTTAAATTAACTATTATACTTTAAATCAAATCAAAACTTGACCCAAAAAGTTATACAGGGTGAGACAAAATTAATATTGAACATTGGTCACATTTAAAAACCATGTCACTCTCTTATTTTAAATGGAACACCCAGTATATTATTCCGATATTCAATGGAGAATTCATATCTCTTCAAAATACTATTAAGGTTGCCTATCCCTCAAACAAAGATTTTCCTAGATATGTTCACTTACATAATTTGATCTGAGTAGATCTTTATTATTTGATAAAATCTAGGTGGCTGCGATATGCCTGACGTTACTTCAACATAGCTGTCTAGTTAGTCCAACAACTAGTTGTTTTAACAACTAGTTATCATTTTGTAACAGTTAAAACAAAACAAAATCTCAGATATTTGCCGAAAATGCAAACTTATACTACATCATCAGAGAGAATTGATATGATTCTATAAGTTGATGAATGCAATGTGCATTCACCAAATAATAGAATATGTTTTAAACGTGTATATTTTTATTGTGGCAGTGTATCTTAAATGGCAGCTCTACACCGAGAAATTAACTGAGTATAATAAGGAGATTAGAAGGGCAAAACGGTCTGACTTCAGATCCTTTTGCGAAAACATCACTTCAACTACTTATGCAGCTAGACTACACAAAGCTATGGCCAAGAGTGGGCCCATCCCCAACATGGCACTTAAGAAACCTGACGGAAGCTACACGGAAGGAGATGAAGAGAGAGCCAACCTCCTACTTCATACACACTTTCCAGGTAGCATATCTATTGATACGCAAGTAGCTCCGACCGAACCCCACAATCCTCACAGGGAAGACTGGGAGATGGCGAAGCTAGTAATAACAGAACAAAAACTGAAATGGGCTATTGACACCTTTCAGCCTTATAAAACAGCAGGAATAGATGGGATTTTTCCTGCCCTTCTAAAGAAGGGTGAGGAAATAGCTACACACCATCTATTAAACATTACAAGAAGCAGCTTAGCTATGGGATATATACCAACCATCTGTAGAAGAGCGAAAGTAATATTCATACCCAAAATAGGCAAACCTGACTGGGCTAACCCCAAATCATTTAGGCCTATTAGTCTCACATCGTTCATATTAAAAACGATGGAGAAAGTAGTGGACAACCATATTAGAGTAAATCATCTAAACCACTGCACGATAGTCAGCATGCATATAGAGCGGGCAGATACACAGAAACTGCTCTGTACCAGTTAACTGAACTAATACAGGCAAGCCTGGATAGCAAAGAAACAGCACTTTGTGCCTTCTTGGACATTGCAGGGGCGTTTGACAATATACCTCACAAGGTGGTCAAGCGATCTCTTGAAACAAGAGGGGTGAACAATACGATAATTCGCTGGTTTTGGGAAATGCTCTCAACACGAACAGCAGAAGCTGAGATAGGTACCAAAACTGTAGTTGTTAAAACAACGCAAGGAGCTCCACAAGGTGGAGTGACCTCCCCCCTACTGTGGAGCTTGGTAGTGGATGAACTACTGGAAGAATTAACTCTAGCGGGAATACACTGCATAGGGTATGCAGATGACATAGTCATGATTGCACGGGGGAAACATGAAGGCACCCTGTGTGGTATTATCCAAAGAGGAGTCCGCATCACTGAGAGATGGTGCAGGACTGTCGGGCTGAGTATCAACTCAGATAAAACTGCGGTAGTGCCATTCACCAGAAAGCGAAGTTTGAAAAACTTGAAAAGAATCCATCTAGATGGAAAGCAAATACTGCCATCACAGGGGATTAGAAGGGCAAAAGGAGATAGTGAACCCTGGATAGTAAACTTCTCTGGAACAGGCATATTAAGAACATTACCAGCAAATCCACAAAGGCTCTCATGATATGCAGAAGACTGGCGGGAAATAAGTGGGGCTGCGCCCCTAAAATTTTGCGCTGGATGTATACCATGATAGTAAGACCCATGATTACATATGGAGCAGTTGCTTGGTATACAAAACTAGAGCAACGTACAGCAAGGCAAAACCTGTGCAAAGTACAGAGACTGGCATGTATCTGTATCACAGGTGCCATGAGAACATGTCCAACAGCAGCAATGGAGGTCATTTTAGACCTAACACCACTGCGCATTGTCGTCGGTAGTTATACCAATGCGACAATGATTAGAATGGTCATTGACGGAAACAGTACTGGGAGAATTTATTTATTTAGGTCAGGGGCTTGGAACACCCTCAAAAAGAAAATTCCACTTCTCCAACTCCCAGTGGATAACATACCAAGAATTTACAACTTTGAGAAACACCTCACTGTAGTATTGAGTAATAAAAAGGATTGGAAGGAAGAAACGCTTACTCAGCATATAAAAGACCATACCATAACGTGGTATACTGATGCTTCAAAACCAAAGCAGGGACAGGGATAGGAGTATTTGGGCCGAAACCAAATACTCCGAACCAATGGGCACCTACCCCAGTATCCTTCAGGCAGAAATTTACGCTATCGAAAGGTGTGTACAATTTATCTTAGATAAGGAACTATCGAAAACAGGAAATTGCCATCCTATCCGATAGTCATGCAGCACTAAACGCGATCAACTCACTAACCATCAATTCGAGGTTGGTCAAAGAATGCCTAGAGAAGCTCAACAAGTTGGGCAAAGAAAATAAAGTCCTCCTACTCTGGGTGCCTGCTCACCAAGGGATAGAAGGCAATGAAAAAGCAAATAATCTAGCTAGGAAAGGAGCGAACACTCCACTAACTGGACCAGAACCGTTCTGTTTTCCAAGCGGAAACCATCTGAAAGCGGAACTGAAGAATCTGGAAGACTCCAACCGTAATTTGGAATGGGTGTCCTCCAACGGTCTAAGACATTCGAAAAAGTTCCTCAGAACCTACGACCGAGAAAAATCAAAGGTTTTCCTTGATTTAAGTAAAAACAATCTTCGGATTGTCACGGGGTTTCTAACAGGACACTCAACGAACACCTCAGTAGGCTGAAGCTGAGAAACAACGGCGAATGCAGATTCTGTGGGGAATATGGGGAAACACCTGAACACCTCATCACTGAGTGCGCCGAGACGACGACCATTCGTGCCATGAACTTTGGTACGGCTGATGTCAAGGATGGAGAGCTAGCCTCTGTGGAGCCGTCTCAGATACTGGCTTTTGTTAAAGCCTTGAGACTGTATGATGAGTTATAACTCGTTATAACTCAAGAAAGGGGAACACATAATAGATCTTTAAGGTCGCGGTGACTAACTCCCCTCCTAAACATTCTACATTCTACATCTTTTTATTACCCTTGAGTATTTTACTCTACAATCTTTAATTTTTAACTTTTAACTTCAACTAAAATTTAGGTAGCTGTGTTCGAAATTTAAAATTTACTCTTCATTTTCACAAAATATGAAATATGTCAAAATTCTTAGATTTTAGGTAATAGGCAAAAAAACTAGAATTACTCGCAAAGATTCAACAACAACACGATGTTATACAAAATAATGACTGGCATTAGGATAATTGTCAAATAAAATAAACGATAACCGTGCTGAAAACGGCGCAATGTGATATAGCGATAATAAAATTCGATTTAAACTAATTGTTGCAGCTTTAATCTAAATAAAATATCTGTTACAATCATTTGCTCTATAAAGTCATTTTACTTTCTAGATATGAAATATGTCAAAATTCTTAGATTTTAGGTATATGCTTCTTTAATAAAACTCACCGTTATTTTGATCCCAGAATCCGAAAATAAATTAATATATAGGGCTATTAGAAAAAATACAACTTTCATGTGTAACTTTTTTGGGGACATCCTGGATAATTGTATATATTTTTATAAAATGCTTTCAGTTAACCTACATACCTATATGATGCCAACATTTCATTTCGATATAAACTACCGTTCTCCTTGGAGCGTCCGCGGCGTATGAGAGGCGCCATCCTGTACAACAAATTTAAAAATTGTTGCCAAAATTTCATTTAGTCAGATTTATAGACTTTAGTGTCAATGTCGATATGATTGATGACGTGCATCGGAAAATATTTTGCGATTACAATATATGAAGTAGTGCTTATTTATGTTTTAAGCCAACCACTATGATTAATTAATAAGTGATTAAAGTAACATATTTATTTTCTTTTACAGAAGCCAGAACATCTTGGATTATGCCATTTACTGCAGGCACGTTTCTACACATAGCCTTAGTTACCGTCCTGCCAGACCTCCTTAAAGAAGAAAGCCCCAAAGAATCTTTCAAACAGATGCTGGCCCTTCTAACCGGCATTTTCATCATGGGCGTAGTTACTAATCTTGTGGAGTAATTATTATTATTGTTTGTTTTTCATTAAACTGTGTGCCATAAAGATGCAGTTCGGAACAGAATTCTTCAGTGATTTTTTCAGTTACTATTAGCAGTATTGTTTTAGATATTAGTTTTTTGTTTAGTCGAAACTGTTAAGTAATCTGAACGGACAAAACGAGTTTCTCTGTGGCACAGCGGCTGTAATAAGATATAAGTAGATTATTGTTATACCTTGTTACACTAAATCACTCAAATACTCATATTTTTTTTGATATAATCAAAGCTATTTGCTGCAGGCCAGTCAAGAACAAAAATATATACTTATAAAAATATTTAAACAACATTTTCATATTATGGTAAAATAAAAAAACACGGTTTATTTATGAAAATCACTTTTATAGCTCACATTCTTTTTTACGATATGAGAACTATGAGTTATTTACATATGAAGATCGTAGTACTGTTGTGGTTTTATCATAATACCTAATATAACACGAATTGCCATATATTTTATACTTTCGTTGTTTTCTATTAAATAGATTGTAGAATAGTATTTAAGTCTAAATATATTTTTATACTTGTTAAAGAGTGATTTTAAAACAATTGAAAAATGGGAGAAAATATTACTGAACAAATGAAAATGTACTAATGATGACTTAAGAAGAGTTATTTTGTGATATTGTAACAATTTGTGAAATGATGTACAAAAAACGTTCCAGTTGAGAAAAGGGCAGTACTTAGGAGTGCTGTTACAATATTACCTTATAAATAAATAAAGACATTCTTAAAAAAATAACTTGTTTCATTCTAAAAATTCTTCTTAGTTTATAATAAACAACTCTTAAGGTATTGTTTTAAGAGTCTATTTCACTAGTCCGAAAAAGTAGCAAAATAAGCGTTCGGCATTTAACGTTTTATGTAAAACTGGCTATGTATTTTTACACAAATGAACAAGGGAATTAAAGATAAAGGATTATATATCCGTACTAGTTGAAGCCTGGCGCATCCGCCACGACATCAGGAAAAAAATACTTTTTATTTTTTGTTTAATTAAATGAAAAACAAAAAATCCGGCGACGACAGTTTTTAGAAAAGCCAATTAGCCATCTTTTAGTAAAAAAGCAACTTTCTAGAGCAAGTCGTTACTGCAGTAGAGACGACACAGATAAATATTAGCATTTTATATACAAATTGTAGTATATTTTGGACAACTTCATTATTTTTAAGATTTTGATGGTCAAACAGCAACAAAATATTCCTTATATTTGGACTACATTTTCTCGAAAATAAAGGCATAATTTAAAATTTCGTTACAATACGAAAATAGATTGAAGTTTTGTGATTACAGTGATATATAATTGATATGGTTTTGTAACAAATTGCTCGCTATTTTGTGGCAAATGGTAAAGCTCTGCAAATCTTAACCAAGCCTTAATCAAGGCACCTGTGTTTGGAATTTTGGGTGTGGCTTAACACGACAGTTCGGGCTAAGCCTTAGGCAGATTTCTGAAATATAATATATATTTCCTTCGGCCACACACCCGCTTTACCCAACCCCTGAAAGCAACCCGAACAGTACAGCGTAATAGACTCTTAAGGCTGAGGCCACGCTGAGACACTGGTAGTGCGCAGATACTGCCAGTTGCAGAATTCAAACCCACAACCTTTAGATTGTTAGACGAGGTTGTACCTCTATGCCACCGGGCATCATAAAGGTCTTTTTTTCTCATCAATATTGTAATATTTTTTTTAATTAGTTACTAGTGTTGTTTCTTCAGGTTCTCTTTACCTCTTGACTGTGGGGAATTCGTCCTTCTGGTTAGTACTGGGTAGTACTGGTGGTTCTGTAGTGCAGGAAGTTTCTATCGAAGATATTTGATGCATAAAAATTCTCTGGAGCGGCGTTATGTCACTCTATTGAACTCCCGCTGAAGAAATATTCTTTTCCTGTTTTTTGTGTGGGTAAAGATTAGTTGTTATTACTTTAGTTTTGATCTTTTACTTCGATTTTTTTCGCTAGTTATCAAATGTTTTCTTTCATTGTGCAAAGAAAATTCTCATTCCTCAAAAAGAATCAAGAAGTTCTTTCCATAAATATGCCATGCACTTAACACAATAATTTTGTTGTTCAGATGGTATTTTTTATATTTAAGTAATTAGTGGTCAATCAAATTCCCTTGCTTGAAATACCTATGATCGAAACAATACGGCGTCAGCGATGGCTATGAAATGATGAAATATAACTAATGTGATAAAGGTTTTTAAAAGCAGCGTAGTTCTGACCTTTGGTCCTGACATAAAAATGTCGGAATGTCGAAACGTCGCGTTGACTTCTTTCTAAACTAAAAAATAAGTTTTATTTGATCCAGATCCAACAAAACAGAAAGAACCAAATCAAACCAATAAAAAAAAGATTAAATGCATTAAATAAAAACTCAACTTAACATTTCTTGAGAAAATTATTCTCTTTACGGGGCACAGTGCCATTCACATTAGTTGAAACCTTGTTGAAACCAATTGGTCGAATTTCCAATGAAAAGCAAACATTACTTTCCGGATAATGCAGTTCCCAAACCAAGTATATAATAGCTATATACCTACTAACTAGCGTTGATTCAATCAACGCTACTAGTTAGTTGATCCTATACCAATACTATTTCAGTGCACCCTTAAATGCATCTAGTTATCTGTCTTAAATGCATTATGGGGAAAATGCTTGGTTGGAAATTGCTGGATGGGGACCTTATACCTATATTGCCATTCAGTGTTCAACTCCCTAATCCCTATAACTCAGTAGTTTCTTTAGAAATAATTTTCTATACATTTTGTGAATGTAGAGTTTCCAGAAATTATTTTCATTCAGTACAGCCATTTCTGTACAAATTTTTATCAAAGGAAATACAGTAATGTCTGCCTATAAGGAACCCGCTTATTGCAAACTTTCGTTTATAACAAACCAAATCTATAGGTACGAACTTCCGTATTACAAAACGTGTGTTATTTTTTTCGCAAATAACGAACCCATTTATAACGAACTTTCGGATAAAACGAACCTTAAATTTTGATATAATCGTAAAACTTTTTCTTTTATAACGAACCTAAAACGGTATTTTACCGCTCATGCCACCAAATACCAGTTCCAAATAACAACCTATGAATCAGGGTGTCATCCATAGCTTAAATAGTCATTATCGTCGACTTCTTCTTTCGAAAATGGCACATTTTATTGATAGTGGGGGTGACATTTTTTCTATCAACCTCTTGAATGGAATAAACTTCATTCATATGGCATGGCAGAGGATATCAAAACAAACAATTTTTAATGGTTTTCAACACGGTGGTTTCCTAAAAGTAGAAAATGATCTCGATTCAGACGATGACTTGACAGTAGCCGAATGGCTGAAAAAAGTATGTAAAAATATTCTAGACAATCTTCCTTGCTCTGAAAATGAGTTTAATGAATTTGTCCATATATATTGATGATAATCTTATAAGTGTCGAGTACTTGGACGATGATGCCATTGTCGCTTCTGTGTCTTCTTCAGTTTATATTGATGATGAGGAGGAGGCGGAAGATGAAGAACCTGTGACTACAGAATTGAGACCAGTTCCGACCACATCAGAGGCACTTCAACATATTGATAATGTTCATCATTTCCTTCAGTCACGAAATACTCCGCAAAGTGTTCTTAATCAATTAGCCGAAGTAGAATTACATATTAATGATATTCGATTTCACAAAAATAAAACAAACTAAAATAAAAGATTTCTTTTTAAATTAGACTCTTAAGAACAGTTGTTAATGTATCTAGCAATATTACATAATATATATTATGTTTATGTTTAGTTTTATGTTTAATGTAGTTTTTATGAAGGTCTTTTCTGTACCACGTTATAAGTAAGTTTTTTCTTCTTAACTTTTAGAGCAATAATTGTCTAACATCTATTTCCATTTTAGTGTCCTGAGGAAGGAATGAATAAATTCCGAAAGCTTGACAATTAACAAAGTGTATTAATTCTTTGTCAAACCCTTCCGACTGCAACCCCACTAGTTCCTAGATTTTCTTTCTCAAGTCGAGACTACTTTCTGGCTAATATATTTTATGTACCATATCTATATATGTATTAATCACATCTTTTCTATTTATCGGCATTTATCGTATATTGAGAACTTTGCTTATAACGGACCGTTTCCGCCGGTCCCATGAGGTTCGTTATAACCTTAGATTAAGAATGTTATAACCGAACATTACTGTATTGCGGAAAAATAATTTAAACTTAATGAAAAAAAAAACAATATATTAATTTAAACATACAGATAATAAACTTATTATAATAAAATCACTTTTAAATAATACAGTTACAAGTGAACAATCGAGGCACGATAAAATCTTTCAAAGTTGAATTTTCAGCAGTCGGTACGTTTTGTCTAACGTAGAACTCCATCGAGTACAAACTCACTAACCATCCAGACCCCAAGGCCATGATATACCAAAACATTATATTAACGAAACTGTGGTTGGGAGTCCGTAGGAATGTTAAACAACTACCGGTAAATAAGAACACTAGAAACAAAGCTGGGAAGAAGAACCCGAACATGTAGGTCAAAACCCATTCGTGCACGACAGCCGAAATAAAAAACACTAAAACTTTGGCGAAGGTTTTGTTTCCGGGCATTAATATTTCGTAACAGTCTTTATAAATGTACGTGTATAACCAATCGGACACCACTATGTTCCATGTTCGGAAATAGACGGAATAATTCGTAGATGTCCACCAATCTTTGTAGAATTCTCTGTCACCAAACATAAGTAGTTCTCCAACTAGGTTCTGTACGACATGTAGAACGACGTAGAAGGCCACCAACATGAACAGTAGTCCAATGGTACCGTGGTCGCACATGATCAAGAAGAGTTCGCTGGTTGAGTAGTGTCTTAGGCCGATGTCTTTATGCGATGGGATTACGAATCGTTCTAGTAGAAAGGCGTAGTAGAATATTACTCCCACGACTTCTAAGGTCCAAGAGAATATGAAGTCCCAACGGATTGTTTTGCTCCTAGAAGAAAGAAATTTATTAATTTATATCTGAAAATATACTAAATCAATACAAAATATTGTTTTTGCTTAATATTGGGACAACTAATACACAGCTCGGGATCTCTACTACCAAACTACAGGTCGCACAACGCTCATTGGAACGAAATATGCTGGGAATAACCAAGAAAGGCGCTAAAAGAATAGAGTGGTTACAACAAAAGACCCAGGTAATAGATGTCATCCACAGAATCAAATCCCACAAGTGGCAATTGGCAGGACACTTGAGAAAGACAACAGATGGGCCACAAAAATTACAGCACGGTGCCCACGAGGAATCAAGAGATCTAGAGGAAGACCAAACTTGAGATGGGACCATGATATTAGGAAATTAGCAGGGATAACTAGGGCCCTTATAGCCAATAATAGACAACAATGGGCCCAACTACAAACAGAGTAGGGGAGGTCGGGGCATGATGACGAACGGGGCAAGATGACGAAGTACTGATTTAAAGAAAACTGTACATCCTAAAAATCCCATTTATTTTTCTATAAATGCCTTTAGGTGTATAATACGTCGGGTTACACATAGATGGAGCTATCACTTTTTCAGCGGGTTTAAAAAATCATAACCGCTTTTCACACCTGTTAGATGTAAACATCCAGCTCCAGAAAATAAGCAATTTCGCAGGTTTAAAGAAAAATAGAAGCCCCTTTCATAGTTAATCTTGATTATTGTGAACATTTTAAATATTAGACGGTAAGATACAACCTAATTTCACTTAATTAATATTTTAATTTTTGCTGTTTCTTAAAAAATGTTTCCTGGGGCAAGTTGACGGAGGCAAGATGATGAATTCGTCAACGGAGCTACGTTCCACCCTTTTTATTTTTGGAGGAGTTAGGATGCGACCAGATCTTTTAAATGGATATCCTCCAAACTCTGGTGGTATAGCTCAACCCAGTAGATGGATGAATACAGAAGCCTTTGTCCTATGCCTTAAACATTTCGTGAAATTTGTTCGCCCAAACAAAGAGATACCCGTATTGTTGATCGTTGACAATCACTCGTCTCACACTTCACTGGAAGCTATCAATTATTGTAGGGATAATGGAGTACCCACCGCCTACAACCGTTGGATGTTGGTTTTTTTGGAGCTCTCAAAACTTTCTATAACCGGACTTGTGATAACTATTTGATAAAGAAGTTGGTCAGTTGTTCGGGCAAGCTTATCTAAGGGCTGCAACTGTAGGAACAGCCATAAAAAGTTTTCCCGCTTGCGGCATTGAGTCTTGTAATTGCAAAATCTTTGGAGATGCCGATTTTGCCCCTTCTATGGTGAGTGAAAGGCACCTAACTGCAGAACACGAGTTCTTAAGCAGTGACGATGAACCACTAGCAGTTCCTGGGTTTTCAGGCTCAAACAGAATTGATCTAGCCAAAACGAAAAACAATGAAATACAAGATGGTAAACCACCGCCGCGAAAAGCTTGTTAATTTAATTCTCCCAGGACCCTCAGGATTGAATAAAATGGATTCTGCAAAGAATAAAAACTATGAAACACCAGATGCTGAACCCCCATTGCTTTCCAAAAAAAATCAGCAGGCAAGGTCAATGAATTTGTCTCTTCTTGAACCTTCAGGCCTACAGCAAAAAAATCCTGCAAAAAACAATGAAGCACAAGCTCTTGGTACTATAAGTTCATCCAGCTCCAGTCAAACAGTCTCTAATGTTGATAGTCGAGTTACACTACTTGAAATGAGACCCTTTCCCAAATATACACGTCCCATAAAAACTACCAAAAGAATTAAACAAAGGGCTTCTCTCATCATCTCACCACCCAACAGGAAAGGAAAAACAGTGAAAAAACTTAAAAGAAATTAAAAGAAGGAAGGTTGATTCTGTGAAAGTCAAGAGAAAGGTATTTCAAGAAAATCGTGAAAAGCAGGTAGGAAAGAAGAAGAAAACTAATGACATTTTTGTCCTGGCTGCCAGTAATCCTATATTGAGCCTCCTACAGAAGACTGGATTCCACTGTAACACGTGCGAGAGTTGGTGGCACGAGTCGTGCACAGTCTACGAAAAAGATGGCACATATACCTGCGACATTTGTTTATAATCGTCATCTTGCCCCTATAGGCTCCTTATCTTACCCCGGTACTGGGGTAAGTTGACGAAAATGCACTTTTTTGTTTTTTTCTTTATATTTTTTCAAGAGTACACTTTTATTTTGTTTTTTATATTTTATTATGTACCTGAATAAATGTACTAACAGATGAAATGGGATCTTTTTTTTAAACCCGTTAGTTCGTGTTTTGGAGCCTTTTGTATTTTACTTCGCCAACTTGCCCCGATCTCCCCTATCTAAATATGTGAGATAGGCTACACCATAATTGGAAATGGCTGAATAAGCTGAAAATGATGATGATGATAAGACATGAAACTTATGTTTAATTAGAGGTGATCGATAAAATAAAATAAAATGTAAGAAATGGTGTAAACGTTGTGTATATCTGTAGTCAACAATGCTTAGATGAAATTTTATCTACACAAATAAATCGAAGAGTGCACTCAGTTTACAAACACCCTTTATGATATTTGCTTACTTTGGATATGCATCTTTGTAAACTGCTGTAGGGGCAAATAGAAAATAAATATAATGCGATAAACTTGCAAGCTTGAAACTGTTTTCGCTTTGTGGCTTAAAGTTTATAACTTTTTCAGCATTACTTCTTATAAAGGCGTGAGTCTTCATTAGCAGTCTCGTCTAAAAAATATTCAATTTATTACTATTTAATAATTTACTTATATACAACATATCAAACGTTATGATTAAAAATGTTTAAATCTTTAAAACATATACCAAAATCATACTTATAATACTTTTTAAAATTTATACTATCTTGAATATTTCAATACTAGTGTTAAACGTCTATTTCTATTTAAAATTATGTGGCAAAGTTAGATAAATATTCAGCTTAAATATACAATATGAAATATGATCGAAAAAAAACCGGCGTCAGTCATGGTTATGAAATGAAGATTGCTGTCATTTTATATGTAAAGTTATATGGGGAATGTCATCGATCGTCATTTCTAAGCCAACTGTCCAACGCTGTTTTTTTAGCACTCGTATTTAACATTTATGTAATTATTTTAAAACCAAAGGCAAATCTAACATTAAGAAGACAGTTTGTCTAGTTTTTTTAAGGATTGCCAATTATTCAGTACGTTTTTTAGTAATTATTTAATTTTATACTTTACCTGTTCCAGACATATTATGGCTGACGATGCTATAGGCATATTTAAATGTCTCACTATAAACGATACTGCTCGAAAATGGAGTAGGTAGTAGATAGGTACAGCAGAGAACCAGATATTGTCCCATATTTTTAAATTCCTGGCTAAATTAGGTTAAATTAGACAAATAACTACGTAACATTATGTATATTATGTATTATGGATTGATATAAACTTAAAGAAAATCAATATTTTTAATTAACATTATTTGCAGTTAAATAATTTTTTTTTCGTTGTTTTTTTCCATCAATACTCTTACTTAGTTGCGTTCAGACTGCAATATTATTTGTGTTGGCCTACTTAGTAGTTACCAATAAAGGAATAAGAACATTAATCTTTATTGGTTTCGTTTCGTACTTATGTTGTACATTGTGATACATTCATAATACATTCATAATTTAAGGTTTGCATTTAACTAGAACGAAACCTTTTTTTATCACAAATATCCAAAATGTTTTAAAATTCTGAAATTAAGTGACTGACAACTGAAATGATAATTTTCAAAAATAATATTTTCAATTAAATTGATGAAAGTGAATTGTGATGTGAACTAATAGATACTTAATTGTTCTATATCAGAATTGTGATGTTACTAATAGATACTTAATTGTTCTATATCAGATAATCACTTATGAGAAAATAAGGGAATGTATAGAATATATCTTTCTGCATTCTTGTATTGTTTTAAAATAATGTAAAAATCAATATCTTTTTATTCAACTTACATTTTGGAAATATTCTTATCCGTATATCAGCCCAAAGGTGAAAACAGAAATAACACAGTATGGAGAAAATGTTTAATACTATCCATATGGCAATCACCATACCAAATTTTCCAAAACCTTGTGATATAACTCCTAAGCCCACTTTAACTCTAAAAATGAGAAATATTTTATATTAAAAATAATTTCAATTCAAATCGACTTAGTTGCTTTTTCAAAATGCCAACAACTTGAACTACTTCAAATAATAAAGGCAATAAAAAACGCTGCTAAGGCTATCAAAATGTTGATCTAAGAACAATTTGACGTTTATACTATTACGTCAAAAGCAACTTTTTTCCAACGCCTACCATGACTTCACTGAATCATCGTTTCTTGTTCACTGTTATTAATATCTTAATTATTAGATATTAATACATCTGGTATTATGGTATTCTGGTATTTCGTCGATTTTAAAATAAACTAGCTGTTTTTATCTTATTTTTTGTTAGAATGGGCATAAAGGGCTACTGATACCGTATTGTAAAAATAAGGTAATTAAAGGCTTATTTTTTGGTATTTATTATAATTTGGTAATATTTTCGGTTTGAAAGAAGATATCAAGATGCGATTTTCGCTGACTTTTTAAGCTTTTACTACTCTTTCCGATCAGCTAAAATTGCATATACTATTGCATTTAATTTTTTTGAAAAAACGCGCAATGTTTGTTAAATTGTAAGACAACGCCCCCTAGCGTCTATGTTTAAAAGTTTATTATTATTGTTTATATCGTATAATATAGAGTAAGAAACGCTCTTTTACGAGCCCTCGTTTGTTGGATTCTAATCATCCAGTCCAGAGTTATTAATATTTAAATAAAAAGAGATCTAACCTTCCCCCACCACTTTATTTTGGTAGATAGAGGAAAATGACTCTAACAAAAAATATTCAAAATTTACTAGATATTATGAAGCTATTCCTTATAGTACACCTTATCTAGGCAAAATTGTGAAAAAACTCCATTTTCTTATTTTTTTGTTGTAGTTGCGCCCCGTAGCGGTCGTTCTACAAACTTGAAAATAATTTCCAGCAATTTCTCATAGCCTCTTTAGTTATAAATATTTTTTTCCGCAGCCCCTAGGGCTAATACTTTCCGAGATACAGCCGAGAGCTATTCGTAGTGGGACACCCGGTACATGTAGACATGTAGTGCTATTATTTTTTAGGCTTTGATTTGTTTATTAGTTTCTAAATTGTAAAGAACCGTTCATAAAACATTCTGTTTTTTTATAAGTTTTAATCATAATAGAATAAGAATACCATGCCAACTAAGTGAAATTTGTCAAAAAAGATAAGAATTTGCTATAACTTAGTAAGTTTTCGAAAAAAAAACGTATTATAGCTTTTATCGCTGCAATGCTTTAAAAGTTACTCTTTTTATGAGGTCATGGCCAACTATGGTTTACATTTAAAAAAAAACATATGTTTGTGTCATATGTCAAAAATAGGCTTTAGAGAAAAGCCTCATTTCATTAAGGATGTGATTATCTACAACTTTTATCTGAAAACTTTTTGTCTAAAATAGACTATAATGGAATTTGGGAGCATTTATAAAACAGCTAAAATTGTTTCTTTTTTCGAAATATCTAGTAAGCCATACACTTTTTCAAAAACTCGAAAGACGCATATTTATTACTCCACAAAACTGCAATTATTTTCTCATTTAATCGACTCTCTATATCCTGTAGTTTCCGAAATACCCTTTCTAGATTTTTCAAAATATTATATTAAATTCATTTTTTACACAAAGTTTTGAGAATTTGAGGAGAGCTGATAAGAAAAATACGTGTTCGAACTTAAGTTTTATCATCAATTTGCTGCAAAAACTCATTATATCAATAATTGTTCATTTATTATAATAATTTACTATGCAAAAACTATGATTGAAAGCACATTTTCTTCTTCTTGCAATAGCAAGTGTCCCTGTGTATAAAACAGCTATTTAAGTCTATTCTTATCTAGTCAATCTTTTTGGTATACTGCCAGACGTTCCAAACTTTTACAGAAATTTAAACTATATTAATATTCTTGTTTAATATCAATAGAAAACTAATATAGTTTTTGAAATATACTATATCTAACTAGACATGGAAAGACTACTTTACATTTAAAAATATTCAGACCTCTGACCTCAAACTCTAATACAGTACAGTAGGTATTGTTTGCTTAGTAGGAAATTGGTAGAAGGCCAATAGCAGGACAGGCATATATTATATCAAGTTGTTCTTTCGGGCATATGGGAAATTGAAGTGTAACATCTCAAATTATATGTAGTAAATGCTACTATATGTATGTATAATCCGGTCGAGATATTAAACCCGTGAGTTTTTTTAGAGGGCCTTTTTATGATTCTAAATAATTTTTCAGGTGCTGACGTTGAAATTGAGCGTGGAAGTCACTTCGAAAATCTTGGCGTTTGGTCGCTACATTAAATTATACCCAGCAGAAAAAAAATAACGGTGTAAATAAAAATAAGATGATTCCTCTCAGAAACGGTAAGTAGCTAAACGACCAGTGAAGCCTCTACGGATAGAGCTAGTGGAGCTCTATATTCGCTCCATTTAAACTGTTTCGAAAATGAACAGTTTCCGAGATATTTACTTAGAAAAATTTCGATTGTCGATTTTCTGGAATAGCCCTTTAATAAAAATCTATTTTTTTAGTTATTAACTTTTTCCACTTTTCTCACCTGGTGCTGTTAGAAGACGTTAATGTAAGAATTCTAAATGCAATTTGACCCCATTTTAGGTTATGTTGTATTTTTAAAAATTGCCGAAAATTAAAAAATTATTTTTATTTTTTTTTACCCAAATTTAACTAATCAAACTGCATCGATCCACGCACAAATATCTTTTAAATCGGAATATGTGAAAAAAGCTCGATTTTGGCAGGGACATTTTTTTGAAAATTTTGCTTTTTCAACTTTTTTTTAATATCTACCAAACCCTTCAATTCTAAGAAACAATTTTTGCATCCTCGGATATAAGACTGATGGGATGGGGCCCTCCCATGGCCTATTTTTCATTTCTTAGATCTTCATAAGGACTCGTTGAAAACGAGTTAAAGTTGAAATTTTGCCAATATCGAAAAATGCAAATATCTCGGAAACGGTAAGTAGCTAAACGACCAGTGAAGCCTCTACGGATAGAGCTAGTGGAGCTCTTAATCGCCCCAATAAAAAAAAAATTCTTCGAAAATTTCCAAAAATGTTCCCAGCCAAAATCGAGCTTTCTTTACTTATTCCTATTTGAAAGATTTTTGGGCGGATCGATACAGATTGATTATTTAAATTTTTTACTATACTGGGTGAGAAAAAAAAATAAAAACCGATTTTTTAATTTGCGGCAATTTTTTTAAAATACAACATAGGGGATTAAATTGCGTTTAGAACTCTTACATTAACGTCTTCTATAGTAACAGTATCAGGTGAGAAAAGTGGAATAAGCTAACCTAACTAAAAAAAATCGATTTTTTTTAAAGGGGTGTATCCAGAAATCGACAATCGAAATCTTTCTAACTAAATATCTCGGAAACTGTGCATTTTCGAAACACAGTTTAAATGGGGCGAATATTGAGCTACACTAGCCCTATCCGTAGAAGCCTCTCTGGTCGTTTAGCTACTTTACCGTTTTCGAGAGGAAACATTTTTATTTACACCTTTATTTTTTTTGTGCTGGTATAATTTATGTAGCGACCAAACCCCAAATTTTTCGAAGTGACTTCCACGCTTATTTTCAACGTTAACAACTTAAAAATGATTTAGAATCATAAAAAATAGACCCCTTCTAAAACACACAGATTTTGGTAGCTCGACCGGACTAATAATAATTATTATTAATTATAAAAAAAGGTTATTGCGATAATGATTGTCTAAAATTATAAAAATATACATATAGTTAGTCAAATATTGGATGATAAGTTTAATGTTTAGTAGACAGTATGATATTCACCGAGGTTTAATTTGTATCTGCTGCCCGTTTTACATTTGTATAGTCTGCGAAAAAATTTCGTTTTTATTTTTATGACTATACAACCCAGGGTGCTCAGGCCGTCTATTCTCTCCACACGTTTCGGGCCTGAGTGGTTTCTTTCCAGTTTTTGACGCCCAGAGTTTGGTGGTTTGGCCAAGATCCCCAGTCAAGGTCTTTACGGATCTAATCACGCCTTAGGCGTTCAAGTGGTCTTTTGTTGTTATAGGGGTTTCATTCAGACCATTTTGATTAGTCTTCAGTCATTGTTCCCCTGAACATGTCCTAGCTATCTTAGTCTGCTTGATTTAATTTCCAGTACTATACTTGCGCTATTATACTATAATTTATTGTACTAAATGCATAAGATGTGTATTGTGTGAAGAGGGGGTGGCAATATTTATATACCCCGCTGGCAAGCGAAATCTTGGGTCGGCGTTTAAATGTATAGGAGTGAATCGCTATGGCAATTACTGTTCCATTCCCGCAGTTGTGCAGCTTGGAACTGTTCAAGAACGCGCGATACTCTCACTCCATTTAATTGAGTCATAAAGTTCAGAACTTGTTCAGAACTGTTCCGCGCCATATGGAGGCACCAGGCTATCGCGCACAGCTCCTTTCAAAACCGTTCTCGAGTAGCCCAGGGCGTAAAGCTCTGGAACATTAAATTCGCGAAAGGAGGACAGCAAATCTAGTAAGTCGGAGAGAGCAAAAATACGAAGTATTTATTACATAATCACTTAATCTGACGCTAGATTCCATGCGCTTGGGAAAATACTTGCCTTCTGTCTTTATTTAGTGCATCTTATTTTACTAAGCGTATTGACCCCACTCTTCGTACACACGAAAATCGGCTGACCCGACAAACGTTGTTTCGCCATAGGAACAGCAGTCATTTTAATTCACGGGGTTGAAAATTTCTGAATTACTAATATCGCTATTAAAAAATAGGGGCTGATGGTAGAAGGGCAAAAATTTGCGGTTGTATGTATTTTTTTAATGCCACATCATAACAAGATAAAAATAATAAAAAAAATCTGTGTGGTAATGATCCTGATAAAGTCCCCCCGCCCCCCTAGTATATACCTAGATAAGACATAACCAACTTCATTAGCGGGGAATAGGTACATTGTACTAGTGCAAAT